GAGCATGCATGGTTATGTGCGTTTAGCATCCGAGGCACCGCAGCGCTACCGAAATTATTCTTAGAGCAGAGCTATTGGAATATGTTCACAGCGCTCACCATTTTATGATACAACTGGACAGAACTTGCTCTGAGTGGTGGTAAGGGTGATGACTTTTCCCCTCCATTTACCCTGCCACAGGTTGAGCCGCTCCCGGCCGCCAAGGAGAGAAACACTGCTTTTTCTTGTTTTGTTTTTTATTCTGACACAGAGCCGTGTCAGAATAGAAAAAAAATATTTCACCATAGGAATGCATTGCTAGATTCCTATTGGCTATTTCAATTAACCACGCAAAGCCAGCCTGAAGTGAATAGCCGAACGGCGTTCGGCTCACTTCGCTTCAGGTCGGTCATTCACTCGGCTGCCTACGGCAGCTTAGTGATTAGACCCCTAAGTATCCAATAATCAGAATGCCTTTGCAATGAAAAAATCCCAGAAGCGGAGCAAGAACTTTTGTAAAAACCATTGGAGTCAAGGACAATCCAAAGGGAAGAGGCAAAAATTTATAAGGAAGCTCGTCTACCCTAAAATGAATGAAATGCTGATCTGTTTGAAATACACAAAAATGTGCAACATGCTTCTGTTGCGCGTTTTTGGGCATTTGCAATGAAGTCTATGAGGAGGAAAAGCACTTTTAACTGCCCAAAAAAGCTCCTGTATCTTTTCAGGCGTCAGGCGTTTTCCTGCTAGGCGTTTTTCTGCTCAGGTGTGAACCAGGGCCATTGAAAATCATGCGATTTCTTGTGTTGGGCAGTTAAAAGCGCTTTTCCAACTGCTCAAAAACGCCTAGGTGTGAACCAGTGCTAAGAGTGTCTAAGAGTGGTGACAACATGGATTCCATCTGAATTTTGTGAATATGTAGAAACGTAATGAGTGCTTGCAATCCAGGATTGGATGAAGTATTCCTGTGGGTTTGGGAACTGTAAACAGGCTTGAGTAAAAACCTTGAAAATGTTCTGCCAAGGAACAGAATAATAACGCTCTGTCAAAGGAATGGGAATAATTACACCCAGGTCCATCAGACCTTGAACTGTGCAAAAAAGTTAACTGCTGAAGACAAACACGCTGCATTTACCTAGTTCCTTCAGGTCTAGTAGCAAGGTGAGAGACACTGGAGAGGGTGTGCATGGAATGGATTGATTGTGGAGGAGGAAACACAGCACTTGCTTCATTAAAATGTTCTTCTTAAGGTGCCCATACACTGCACGATTATCGTACGATAATCGTATGCGATCGGTTTTTCGTACGATAATCGAGCAGTGTGAACGGAGACGTGCGACCGTTTCTACTGTACGGTCGCACGTCTTCTGTCGAACCAGCATGTTCGAAAACCAGCCGGGAATCGTACGATTCTCGGCTGGTTAGAACGGTGCTCGGAAGATAAATGCTGAACGGGCCGGTGTGCGCACGCGCACACTGCCCGTTCAGCATTGCAGTCATCGGAAGCCCGCCCCTCAGGAGGGCGGGCTTGCGATGATCGAGAGTGCGATCTGCCTGTCCAAGATAGGCAGATCGTACGTTTTTTTAATCCCTTTACAACCATCGCAAGACTAAAGTCTTGCGATGGTTGTAGAGTGTATGGCCACCTTTACACTGAGATCACTTTATTTAAATAAACAATCACACATAGCAATTTCTTCTTGTTTATTATATTGAACTGTTGGTTGAATATCAATTTATATATAGAGAGAGAGATTTACTACTGATTTATTCAACTGTGGAGATTATGGTAGAACATTCTAGAGCACTGTTCGCACACCTTCTTCTAGTCCAGCTATAGAGGAATACACATAAATGCATACAGGAACGGGTGCATCTATGTATACTGTACGTACACAGGGAATATACTGAACACATACAGTATGCATACAGTAAGGGGTAACAACGCAGCAACTAAACTGAGTAAGCTTTGTTATCTTAGGAAAAGTATTACCTAGAGATACACTTTGGGGATAGGATAACCAGAAATTAATTGAAACAGGAGATATTTACAAAGGACTTAACTTTTTATATTACAGGGACATGTGCAGCAACATATGTGGCTTAAGTGTTTGTGTTTAGATACACTTTAATATCAGTAGCAGGAAAGGGAGAGAGCAATCAAGAAATGGGCAATGGCACTTTTATGTAGTGAGTACTGCCTTCTGTCTGCTCATCACTTTCATCCCAGTGTGCTTTGCATCTCTCTCCCTGCTGCTTGTTGTGATGTGATCTCGATTTCTCAAGACTACGTATCCCATCATGCATTGCTTCCAGCAAGCAACGATAATGTTACATTGTTCAGATGTTGAGTTGTAGTTCAGATGGCAGTCTCTGTGAGTTGAAATACAAGTAAGTTCATATTTACAGGATTGAGTGACATTGTGCCATTGCATTGAGGAAGTACATCCTATGGGCAACTTCAATAAGTAAGTTTACAAACTTGTAGACTGATAGGATTATTAGGAGTGGGATAGAACTTATGGAAATGTAATATATAAATACATATTTTGCTCTAAATGTTTGACCATAGATACCCTTTAATTAGTGTGCTTATCTAAATGCATAAATACAAGTAACTTACACATAGTACCCTAATGTGTCCCACCATTCAGCTGATTCTAAATATAACAGTATATCACAACATTCAGTGGCTGGGTCAATGGTGAAGGCCAACGCATTTTGCAGTAACAGTTAATTACTTCTTCTGGAAAATATGGAAGATTTAGCTAGAGACAGAGAAATATATATCCTTGATCTTAGTATCGATACACAATATTAATTCATTACAAAGTTGTTTCATAACTAAACTTGACTTACCTGCATATACTGCTGGGAAACACCTAGACACAGCACCCACACCTAACCAAACCCTCTTGGGGACAAGAGAGGATATTCAAAAGGCCTGCTCTCTTGGAGTTCGTATACTTCAGGTACAACAACACAGAACTGTAAAAGTTCTCATTCAGCTATGACAACCCATTATTGCCAGTCATATACTGTATTTAGTTTAGGATGGGGGCTATTTAAAACACCAAGGCCAAATGTATAGAAATGTATCAATGTGTATTAAAAGCACATTCGGTTTGTGTTACTTATCTCTGCCAAGATTCAGCATTTCGTAAAAGCTGTCCAGCAAGCAAAAAAAAAAGCAGATTTGAGAGACCCTGCCTGTGTTATCAGATGGGAGGGGCTATCAGCAGCAAGGAACACATTGCACTGCTTCTATCACTTGCTTTCCTGCACTGAGAGACGGCAGCAGTCATCACTTTGGTAAGTTACTGTTCTAAAACTTCACGTATGTCTATATCAATTCATGTACAGGCACTGGATGTAGATTCAAAGCAAAAGGACTGCCTTTAATTCATTTTAATAATACAATTTCAGTTTATATTGAAATACTATAGTTTATTCTTTGAATATATTTTCAAAATGTTTGAAATAAGGAATGTCTGTGTCCTGCAGCAAGCAATCAAACTACTTTTGTTTTCCAGGTTCTCTTCCCAGTGGTCATTTGCTAGTGTAGATTTTTATTTTTATTAACCCTTGCAGTAGGACTACACCCACATTGTAAGGGCTAAGTGCTTGTTATGGTCTAGGGAGGAAAATAACAATGTTATACTCACCTGATTCTCCAAGCCGGTCTGCTTTAGACCAGTCCTTCCAGTGTCTCTCCCCCTCTGCTGTAGGTTATCATCACATTCTACACACAGTGTATAGGAAGTGAGGATGCTGAGGGATATACCATCACTGCAGAGGAGGAAACTGGCAGGAGGAAGCCCCATTACAGCCAGGCGGCTTGGAGGATCAAGTGAATACAACTGTATTTATCTTACTAGACCAAAATGAACATCTAACCTTAGCAGTGCAGGGGTAGTAAGGGTTATTAAAAAGTTCTTTAAAAATTATTGAGGGCTCAGGATGTTAGGGAGGTCTCTTATTTGCCAACACTTTGAATAATTAGGCCATGGATGTTTAAAGAGTGTTCAGAAAAAGAAATGGTTTTAAATGATTTATCGGTTCATGACATTAAAATGGAATAGTATAAGATAAATAATACCACGAGTGTATTTTTGCAGTACATTTGACTTATGGGTTAGATTTAATATTAGATTGATACTCGCTTCCACATGTGTATCCCTTTTAAGCAGTTACATGCAAAATGTTACCATCCAGTTAAAGAAGAACTATGGAGTCAGTGTTTTTCCCCATAGTTCTCCTAAGGGTAACAGGAGGACACAAAGTAGCGTCCTCCCGTCACCCAAAGCTCAGTAGCTGGTGCTCGCAGTATACTGAGACGCCGACAATTCTATCTGGATACACCAAGCTGCGTGAGTGACAGCTGGCTCTGCCTATCTAGGGGTACTCGCCCCCTCCCCCGTCTGTACCGCCAGTCAGCGCTGGAGGATCGGACAGCTCCCTGCACGGATAGATCGAGAAGTGAGCAAGCGCCGATATGTGTTCGCTCACTTCCCGATCTACTGAGCCGACCTGTGACAGTCTCATTGTCACAGGTCGGCTCAGATTATGAGGCTGAGTGAAAATCACTCGCCTCATAATTCTCCTTTAAAGATCAGTATGATATATAAAGCAGCTTTAGGAGGATTTTTTTTCTTGCTTCTTAAGTCACTCTTATATCCTACTCCCAAAAATGGTTTCCCATAGCTCAAAGTAAATATAAGAGCCACAAGGGGGTCTATTAATATAACAGAAGTGCAACCTCTGATTCTTTCTGGCTGATGGCCAGGACAGATGTAAATAAAGGAAGACTCCATGAGGCTGTCTGTTTGTAGCTGATTAAACTCAACTGCGTAACTTGATGTCCAGCCAGGACATGTCATGTGTCACATTGCAACATATGTGAAAATATCTTCCAAGATGTTGTCTTCTTTAAAACTATAATGTAAGGACAAAGATAAGCCAGTTTTTTTGCAACTTTTTACATATCCATTTCTTTGACATTTTGCTTGCTATATTCTGTAGGAAATGGGACAGCAGCAATCAGTAAATGCAGAACCAGAGGAGATTGATGAGTCTGCTGTCTTAGTGGCACAAGTGGAAGACTTCAAGTCATCTAAGAGACTTAGGACAACAGTAAATGATAGAGAAATAGTGATATTCCATCACCTGGGGAAATATCATGCCTTAGATCTTCGCTGTTACCGTAAGCAATTTTTACATGTAAATACAAAATATATACAGTATATACTGTCCTCTGTCTCTCATTGTAGATACAGTGTAACTTTTCTTTCTTATGTTTTGCAGATTCAGGAGGGCCATTACATCTCGGAGAGATTGAGGTATGGTCATCATTAAACACTACTGTATAGGCAAACAGTCTGACTAACCAAGATCTGGGTATTTACATACATTTTTATGTGAACGAGGACACCCACTTATCTTGTAGAATATTGATTGGACATAAATGTTTAGTGTTTACAGCCCAGTATCAGTTTGCTGGGGATGTGTGCTGGAATCCAAAAGGTTATAGACCTTCCGTGGTCATCTTAACAATGTGACATAATACCAATGTGTTTACATAAAAGTGACACTACACTCAGGAGTTAAATCTAAAAATGCATTCAAGTGCTCTAACAGTTAACAAAAATGTATCTTATTTGTGTATCACTCGTCTGTAGATCCTCCAATCATCTCTGAATTGGTGCTGACACTGTCCTTCCTTCTGGAGGGTGGTTACTTTTGTTCCCCATGGTCACTGTGTGTTATAATGTAGCCACTGCTAAAAGCTTGCTCCGGCGATAGACTACAATCTTGGAACAAATAAGTAAACTGAACATGAGATTGTAGACCATCACGGGAGCTCCAGAAGGAAGGACAGTGTCAGCACAAATTCAGAGATGATTTGAGATGATTTACAGCTGAGTGATACACAAATAATGTACATTCTTGTTTATAGTTAGGGTATTTGAACACATTTTTAAGGTTTAATTCCTGAGTTTAGTATCTTTAAAAAAATATATGTTAAGAACAAAAGTTAACCTTTGCAGTGGGGCCACCCTCGCACTGCAAGGGTTAAGTGCTCATTTTTGTCTAGGATCTAAAATAACAAAGATATACTCACCTGCAGCCTCTCTCCCCCTCTGCTCCAGTGGTCTCTGGATCTGTAAGTCATCAGGTCTAATACAGTGTATTAGATATGAGGATGCCGCAGGACATCACCGGGGCAGAGGGGTAGAGAGGCTGCCGGGACCAGTCTAGATTCAGATGAGTATATCTTTGTTATTTAAGAACCTAGATAAAAAAAAACAACACTTAACCCTTGCAGTGCGGGAGTACCTCCACTGCAAGGGTAAACTTTTGTTCTGCCCTGAGGTCTTCTTTAACATATACTGTATATGTAAAAATAATATTTTTTTTAATTCAACTACTCTAAATACCTGAACTTGTCCTGATATTAGTTCCTTGTAACACCTTGTACTGTGGAAGACAGACCTGTAGAGGGAGGCACAGCAAAGGGGCCCAATTCAGGTCACCAGTCTGGCTCTGGAAGTGCTATGTAGCAGGACTGTGTAAATATCACACGTGGCTGAGCAGGAATACAAACAGTTCTCATATATAAATTTAAATTGTGTATTTAGCTGCTTTCCCTGTGTTCAGCTTTAAAATGTGGGTTTTACCTACCAGCGCGCACACGAGTGGGGAAACTGTGAGCCTGTAAACAGCCAGCGATGGTTGTTTAAATGCAATCAATCAGGCAGCAGAGGACCTGTCATGTGAATTGGCTATCACATAGGGGATTTCTTAGTCCCCTACATGATAGCAATAATGTTATGTGTAAAAAAAAATTGTTGAAAAAAATTAAAGCATAAAAAAATAAAAGAAGCTACAAAAAAAAAAAGTCACAAATAAAAAAAAAAAACCCCCACATACACACGCAAACATGCGTCGGGTGCGCCAACGTGCAAAAACGACGATTCCACCTATTGTGCTGCATATGTTACATATCGCCGCGAACGTCGGAATGAGAGCAATCATTTTAGGGCCATCAATCACTGATAACACTAAACAGATGAGCGGTAAAAGCTTTTAAAGCGTCGCCTATGGCCAATTTTGGGTGTGGTCGTTTTTTGCAATTTCGCGGGCGTGCGCAATTTTAAAGCTTGACATGTTTGTCTATTTACCCGACGTGACCCCGTCTTTTATATTTTACCAAAAAATTGGGTAGAAAATAAATGTTTCATAACATTTCATAGGGAACCTTCTGCACTAAGTTAAGAGAAATTTCCTCTGCAAAGTGAACAGCCAATTCACCTTTAGTAAATCAAACCCAAATCATCACTTGTCATCATTGTATGTGTGCGTTGATCGTAGCATATTAACCACTGCGTAGGAGAACGGACACTTTTAAGGAGTCATTGCGTAACATAAAACATTTGTGAGATATCTTGTGATTAAACGTCACTTTAGGAAATGTGTAGAGGGAGGGGATGTGATAGAGACCTTAACAGGAAGAACACACCACTTTATCTCCCTGTACAGGCACCAGAGATGTTGATGTCATGGGGTATTATCACTAACAGCATACATGGGATGACCATACTCTGCCAAATACATGGGAACATGCTAAGACAGCATGACATTTTCTGCTAATGGCATGTATGGCAGATATGAATAACATTGGAGAATGGGAAGAACTGTCTTGAATTAGCTTGTGTGTAACTTTACATTGTATTTATCACTATAATAATGATAATGGTCTTAGAAATCGGTAGAATAGAAGAGTAAATGACCACATTGAGAGAAAGGGAACGTTGTTCTTTTTGAGTAAAAGCATAGCAAACTTTCAGAACAAAGCTAGTTGTAGTCAGCTAATGTAACAGAGTGTGCCCCTAATATACGGTATGTTAAAAGGGTCCATATACACCGGAACTCAAAGAAATCCAAGACCATCAATTTCGGATAACAACTAAACTTTACAAAACATAAAGTGAAACCTCAGCCAAAAAATACACTGAACCAAACAATGTCTGATCTAATATCTTCAGAACTATTATAGCACATAACCCTATAACCATGGTATGTCTTCTATTTCTAAATTACTTTATCAGCAGCAATTATCTGCAAGAACAACTGTCTGTGTTGCACTTACAGCACCCAGTCATTTTTTTCTCTTTCACTCATCAGCTATCATTTTCCAGTACAGGGATAGTGTGATTGGCATCCATGGGAGAATACAAACAGTAATTAACAAGGCCCATTCTAAATGAATCCCCAGTGAAAGGTTCACGCCGTTCTCTCTCTAGTCCTATACCCCTTCTTCTATATGCCGTGATTTCTAATTGCATTGTGCTTAGGAATGTCTAAGGCTGGGTTCACACCTGGGTGTACCATAGGCGCGTTTTTTCAGCTCGTTTTTTAGCACGTTTTTTCGTTCAGTGAAGCGCGCGTTCGACGCTCGTTTTTATACCTAACCGGCGGTATCATTTTTTATTATTTTTTTTCCTTTATTTTCTCTATCTTTTTTTCTGGGTTTTTTTTTTTTAAACTTTCAAATTTCCCGCCGGTTCCGCCCCCCTGCGACGCAGCCGCTCGCAAGGGACGGAACCCGGAAATCGGCAGCGGCCGGAGGACACAGCGGGGATCGCGGACAAGGTAAGACCTACGCTGTATTACGGAGTGTGGCTCGGGGTTACCGCTTTGTTAACCCCGAGCCACACACGGGAATACCAAACGATACGCACGGAAAAACGCCCCAAAGAAGCTCCTGTACTTGTTTGGGCGTAGGGCGTTTTTCAGTGCGTTTCCATGTGCTGAAATACGCCCAGGTGGGAACCATCAACCATAGGAAAGTATGGGATTTCACTGTTTGAGCGTTTTTCAGCGCTTCGGTCAGCGCTTAAAAACGCCCAGGTGTGAACCAGCACTTAAAATAATTTTTTTCTCTCACACTCCAGTGATCTGTGCTGGCCGAGCCACAACACTTAGTACAAGTGTCCTTAAACAGACTTGTATTGCAGAGCTTTCTCAGAGGGAAATGTCTGACTAGGTCTGTTACTGAGTGCTGATTACTGACCAGGACTGTCCCTATAATGAGGCAGCTTTCTGGCAAGAGCGTCCCAGGAATCTGGCGGGAGAGATGTGTAAGGGCCATACACATCTCCCCACCCAGCTCTTAGCAACCTGGGAAGCTGTGGCTGGCATCCCACCCACCTCCTGGCAACCAGGGATGCCAGCCAAGGTGGCAGCGTCAATCCTGCACACCTGGGCGTTGGCTTCCACCAGCACAGACACAGACACAGACACAGACACAGACACAGACACAGACACACTGTGTAACCACCCACGGCCTCTGGCGGCCAAAAACAACCAAGACGCCCCTGTTGCTGACTATACATGGGCTAACTCTCATGTCTATTAAACTGTCATATCTAGACTGCCTGCACAACGTCTGTAACAAGAGAGTAGAGGTGATACTCTGAAAATTGAGCTTGTCTGTCTGATTGCATATCTACTTCTGAGACTTCTTCTATTTCAGCTTTAATAAATGAAAATATTTCCGAAGGATTGAAACACTGTGTCTCTGTTTGCAGGATATCGGTGGATGGGCTTGTGTTGTTTGTCCTTGGCACAAATATAAAATTGTTCTGGAAAGCGGTGAAGGCCTGTATCAAGGAGTTGACCCCCATGAGCAGAACAGAACCAAGAAATGGTTCTCTAAAGGAGTGAAACAACGGACTCACAAAGTGACTGTCAGCAATGGTGGTGTCTATGTTACTCTCTCAGACACAAGCTCTATGAGGTGTGATTCTGATGTCTATGCAAAAGAGAAATTTAATGACCAGCCTTGCCCTGATCCAGTAACATAGGCTGGTATTTGCAACTGAAAACTTCATCTTTCTCTGTTTTTGGTTTAACGTGATTTGTGATTATTAAAGAAGAACTCCAGGAATTTGTTTGATTACCCTTGCAGTGGGGCTGCCCTCACACTGCAAGGTTTAAAATCTTGTTTGTGTCTAGGTTAAAGAAAAAAGTTAGTATCACCCGAAGCTCCAAGCTGGCTTCTTCTTAGTACTTCCAACGTATCTCCCCCTCTTCTGCAGCGGTCTAAGGTCCCGTAAATCATCACATCTAAACACAGTATATAGACCAGGGGATGCCGAAGAAGACTCCAATGCTGCAGAGGAGGAGGAGACAGGCTGGAGGGAGCGCTGTAATAGTTGGCTGACTCAGAGCTTCAGGTGAGTATAATTTTGTTATTTTAGCACCAAGACACAAATGAGCAGTTAACCCTTGCAGTGCTGGGGTTGCCTAATAAAAATATCCCTGGTTCTTCTTTAACATTTAGTGGTACCAACCCAGCATGCGTGCCAATCTTGATATATTTGTGTGCATTCTTCTCATTATATCGGGATGTATGGGGTTGTTATGGCATGTTTGTATGTGCTGGTGACCTATGATTTGCTAAGTTTCTAATCTTTATCCTCTGGTCTTTAAAGAATAGCTGTCATGAGAGAAATACGGGTGCTATGTGCAATCTCTCCTATTAAGGATTCAAGCTGCCTGATTGTACTGATGGTCTTTAATAAAAGTATGAAGAATTAGATATTTAATACTCAGCAATTCTGCTGCCCTCATTGCTGATGTCTCTGTAATCTAGAGAAACTGTTGCCTCAAGAACCTGCCGAATGTGACACTTCTAGGAGTTCCAGATTCCTGCTGTGGTTTATCCTGCTGCTCTTTACAACATTACTATGTTCTGTAGTGAGGTAGCGGTCAGCAGGAAGAACCGTAGTGCGCGGTGGTGGACCAAAAATGTGACACTTCTATTAGTGTCTGGTACAGGAGATTCTTCAAGTGGCAGTTTCTCTGGATCCTGGCAGCATGGCCAAAGGCAGAGATCTCTTTTGCATGGACTTTTTTTTAGACTTGAGTTTTTAGCAACACAGTCGCATTAACATGCTTTGAGCATTGTGCAATCATTTGCAATGATTAACAGCTCTTCATTATTGTGTAGACTCAGGGCCGCCGTCAGGGGGGTATGGCCGATACTCAAGTAAGGGGCCCGGCGCCGCCTGAGAGGCCCGGGTACCTTACATGAGTATCAGCCGATGGCCGTACAGGTGACTGGCAGGAGGTGGAGGCGGCCGGGCCCCTGCAGCACCGAAGGAAGCCGGGGCCTGCACACTCGAGATCCTCACCTGGGGTGCTCTCTCTGTGCGGGCCTACGGTGTCCCCCTGTCTCCAGTCTGCCTCCACTGCAATGACTGACTGCACATTACGTTTTTAAAGATGGCCGCTGCGAGTAGCGGTGGCCATCTTTAAACCTGGCAAGTGCCCACATCTCATTTAATATATTGCCGAAACGGCAATTTATTAAATGAAAATAATTCCCTGGTGGTCATATTAACTATTGTTATTAGATGGGTGTGTATGTGTGTTTTTTAATGTGTGTGATTTTTTTTTTTTTATTAATAAAGTGTGTGAGTGTGAGTGTGTGATATGTGTGTTTTTCATTACGTGTATGTGTGTTTTTTTTTTAACCATTTCCCATGGGTTCATGTAAATGTCCCCTCATGCAAATGTCCCCTCCCCCCACACAGTCACATCAGTCTTTGTACAGAGGAGCTTACCCTCTAATGCCCCCCCACAGTCACATCAGTCTCTGTACAGAGGAGCTTACACTCTA